CGACATCATTCAGGGAAATAGTGCAAAATCCTATGTACATAAACTATTCCGAGAATGTAGGTCAATTTTTACCCTACTACCCAAAAATGAAAAGAAAAGCAATCTCAAAATGATTCTTTCAATTTCAATGGTTAAGTTTAAAAAAATGCTGATTGATTTTGGCTGTCATACTTCTTCAAGCCATTTCAAGGCAGCTGACCCTGGAACTCCTGCTATCCCTGCTAGAAGGGAAGATGAAATAAAATTAACTGGTCAACTGATCAGCACTACATTAATCATCATTGCTAAATGGGTGTTAGGACTTCCTAGAAAATGTTCATTTGTTTATAAAATGTAAATATAAATGAGCCATTGAATCTCTAGAAAACATAAAGCATATCACGTGACCAAAGATAAATTAATTAATATAATTATATAATTTCAAATAAAAATGCATATGCATGTTATCTTAAGTAATTATACATATTCTGCCTGCCTCATTTCACAATTCCTTTCTTATTAATTTGCAACATTTAAACCCATTATATATATATATGGCATCTTGGATAACATATATACTGTAGATACACTTAATTTGACGCTACTAAATTTTGGCAGATTTGCTCAATTTCAAGTATTGACGGCTATTCACTTTGGCGGAGTCAGAACTGAGCTGAAGTTTTAGCATAGATCTGGAAATAAACATTTCAGATTCATGTGTTCCACTTACAGTAAGTCTTAGTATAGCAGAGCTGTCAAGTGTCCCGCGAATGGCGGGATTATCCCGCGAATTCGATCAAAATTAGGCTAATTCGCGTGTCCCGCAATGTCCCGCGAAGTCCCGCAAAAGTGGCTTTGACCTCCGCGAATTTCCGAAAATGTTGCAATCCCCTATATTGTGATTATCTTATTATCCCAACAAACGAAGTTCGGTAGGGATATAGTGAAGCCCTCCGTCCGTCCGTCAGTCCATCAGTCCGTCAGTCCGTCAGTCAGTCAGTCCGTCCGTCCGTCCGTCCGGAAGATAACTCAAATATTAGAAGACGGATTTTCGTCATATTTGGTGGAAAGATGTATATTGATGAAAAGTTTTACGCAAAAAAAAAAAAATTTCAAGATGGCCGCCGCTTTAAAAATGACGGGCCTTACGCAAAAATCATAAATTTTTCATTCTAAACCAAAGGAATTAATATTATTGTTTGAAATTTTGTTAGTATATTCGCAACATCTATCTATTTCACATATATTCAGTGTTTTTCATCCTGACCCCCAGGGGCCGTGTATGGGGGGTCAGGAAAACAGAAATTTTCGCTAATTTTTAGATCTTTCTGAAGTATAGCTTTATTATACTCAAATGAAAGGCAATTAAGAGTAGATTGCAAATATTGTATCTTTTTTCTGATTCGAGCCTCGTAAAATTCAAAATGGCCGTCTAATGTATGATTTCGCAATAATTTTTCGATCCCTTCAAAGTATGGCTGTATAATACTCATATTGAAGGAATTTTGGAGTAGATAAATATTATGGTATTATTTTTCAAATTTGTACCTCAGAAAATTCAAAATGGATTTTTTTCAAGATGGCCGCCGCTGACGGGACTTTTTCGCAAAAATCATAAATTTTCCATTCTAAACCAAAGTAATTAATATTATTGTTTGAAATTTTGGTAGTATATTCGCAACATCTATCTATTTCACATATATTCTGTGTTTTTCATCCTGACCCCCAGGGGCCGTGTATGGGGGGTCAGGAAAACAGAAATTTGTGCTAATTTGTAGATCTTTCTGAAGTATAGCTTTATTATACTCAAATGAAAGGCAATTAAGAGTAGATTGCAAATATTATATCTTTTTTCTGATTCGAGCCTCGTAAAATTCAAAATGGCCGTCTAATGTACGATTTCGCAATAATTTTTCGATCCCTTCAACGTATGGCTATATAATACTCTAATTTAAGGAATTTTGGAGTAGATCACAATTATGGTATTATTTTTCAGATTTGTACCTCAGAAAGTTCAAAATGGCTGCTTTGCAGGAATTAGCAATTCTCAAATCTAAATTTTTCAATTTTAACCAAAGTAATGAGTATAATTGATTGGAATTCAGTAATTGATATTTTGTTCGTTGGGATTTGCTACTCCGCGGAGTTGCCATTATCTAGTCTTATATAAGAAGCTAAGTTTTTGCACTTTTGAGGAGTAAAGTTTACCTTATTTTAAATTGTTTGGTATCAAAATAAAGAGGAAGGGTTTAACTTTCATTTTAATTACGAAAATAGGGATGTAGGTCACAAATAGTTCCAACGTTGGCCTTTTACTACCCGTGTGGCCTTCATCTCAGAACTCAGCAAATGTTAGCAAACGCTGATATCTATGGATGCTGATATCTAGAAAGGGTTTGTAGAAAAAACCAGGTACCGGGTAGTAAATCCTCCATGCTCGGTTCAAACTTGGTACCCGGTACCCGGTCAAAAAAACGGGTACCCAAAAAACGAAAAATACGAATATATAACATAATTAGATTATGAGAAAACGTGTAAGATTTGTTTTGAATTTACAAAAATGTATGTAACATCCTTCAAAATTGAGCTAGAAGCTTCAAATAAAAAGCATATTTTAAGGCTCTTTTCTTCCTCAATCGTCATGGCCATATTTTCATAGGTTATGGGGGGGGTGCGATCGCACCATCGCACCCTCTCCTGGCTACTTCTATGACATTGTAAGACATAACAATTTACAATTAAGTGGACATTTTGTCGACAATTGGGATAACTTAAATTATGATTAATAATCAAAATTTTACACATTGCATCATGTAAATTAACACACGTCACCTCTCTGCTAAAGCAACGATAGCTATTTACGGATTTAAATCATAATCAAAACAATTCACGTACCAACATACGAACTATTGATTTGTCTTGTTATTCAAATCGTCTTGCAATGTCATTGGCGTAGCCAGGAGAGGGTGTGATGGTGCAATCGCACCCCCCCCCCTTCATTACCAATGGAAATATGACCATGATGATAGAGGAAGAAAAGAGCCTTAAAATGCTTTTTATTTGAAGCTTCTAGCTCAATTTTGGAGGAAGTTACATACATTTTTGTAAATTCAAAACAAATCTTACACGTTTTCTAATGATCTAATTATGTTGTATATTCGTAAATTTCGTTTTTTGGGTACTCGTTTTTTTCGACCGGGTATCAGGTTTGAACCCAGCATGGAGGATTTACTACCCGGTACCCGGTTTTTTCTACAAACCCTATCTAGAAAAGTAACCTCATTCCCTATAATTTGATGTAGATTAATCGAACCCCTATATCATGGGCCTTCAATTGAAAGTCCATGCCTACAGTATATGAATAGGTACATTTTGATATATAACGTTATGGGGGTAAGCGTTTCATATATAGTTGGTCACGACGCCAGAAGTGCAAAGTATTGTTCCAAATTTTTGAATTTCGTGTTAGATTACGATACTCACACCTGAAGCATGGTTTTTGTTTTTGATAAATTACAATAAAGTTTAATAATATTCCTATGCGTATTTTGTGAAATTATCTTGACGTTTATTTAAGTTACAATGTAACGGTGCATTATATTAGATTAATCAGTATCTGAAAGTTTGATTTAAGTACTTTTACACGCTTTTACATTAGTCCAAATCACGCAAATCCCTTGAATGTCCCGGGACATCCTGCAAATTTAGGTGGATGTCCCGCGAAATCCCGCAAATTTAGGGCACTTTGTCTAAAAAATCTGTCCCTCTATGAAGTTTTTGGTGGTAAACCTGTTAACTGTCCCGTAATTAGGGTGTTTGTCCCTCGAATGGTCTCGCGAAATCCCGCGAATTTGATAAAAAAAAATTTGGCCTATAAGCGCAATCACGCTAATCCCTTAAATGCCCCGCGAAATCCCGCGACTTTAGTAGATTTCCAGCAAAATCCCGCGAATTTTGGGCACTGGGTCTAAAAAATCAGTCCCGCGAGAAAAATCTTTGGGGGTTGACAGTACTGGTATAGCATTGACATCCAAATAGGAATACTTTCACAAGTGAAATAATTACAAATTACAAATTCTCTAGGGATTCCGAAATAGATCTGAAAATTGGCAGATTTTTAATTTGGCAGATTTTCTCAATCCGCCAATCTGTCAAATTAAAACGGTACCCAAATTAAGTGTATCTACAGTAACAATTCACATATCATTAGTATTTATACAACTCAATATATACTACTCCACTGAAAACTTTAAAATATTTTCTCTTCTCCCAAGGGTTCATCTTGCTCAACCCTGGACAAGATAAACAAGATGAATCTCAGTCTACAGATGAATTTAAAGTTACACACAGATTTGTATCAGGTTGTTGTATATATTAGAATATAATAATTAATTTTTTGTTTAATATCAGAGTTAGAAAGTAAAATACACCATATTATTTTGGGTCACTCTGTAGTATTTTTTAGTATTCAAATGAACTAAATCCAAAACAGTCATCTTTATATTATAATTCATTGCATCTACATGAAATGATATTTATTGAGAATTACAAGTGTTCAATATGTAATGCCTGTATTAAAACTCAGTTTTTGTAGAACATTAGCATTTGAAAGTAAAGTGCTATTATTATATCACTCTGTAATATTCTGTCATATTCACAATAATATTCATATACAATGCATGTATGTGAAATCATACAAGTATTTTGGAGAAATACTGTGGTTACTAGCTGAAGATATCAAAAATATATCTGGTAAAGTAATTTCGTTTTACCTTGGACCCAATTATAGATACAACAGAGTATACTGCAATTTAGGCTCTAAGATGAGATGAATTGTTATTTACTATAAAATCTGGTTATTAATTCATCAATCTTTCTCATTGGTATCTTCCACTCTCGATCATTTATGGGACCATATTGCCGTACATAGCCACCCTTCTTGCTGTTCCATAGTTCAGATAGGATTAACCATCTGTCCACATGTAGAACCTCCTCTCCTGTACAGCAGCCAGATCTCAGTGCACGTATTGTGATATAGAGAACTACTGGCATCAGCCAATAATTATCAGACCTGATTCCTGAGAATGATCTTGGTTGTACATCAACATCTGGGAAATCAACATCTGGAAGTTCCTTCTCACTGTCATATATCCACAGGTGTCCATCCACCTCCTTCATCTCATAGAGTTCAAATACATGATGAGCTACATCACACAGGCAACCTCCCAATGATCCCGCACTAGATGTACATGTTGCCTGATGATGTAGCACAAGGGTCTTCAAGGCATGAGAGCTGTAAGTGGAGCTGTGAGGGATTAGATGACATTCCAGAATGAGGAGTTTCAATAACATCAGCAGCTTGTTGTGATGTTTGTCAAGTTTATGTTTACTGTTATAGACAGATTGAGTCCATGATGTAATAAAACCTATTGGTCCTGGGTCATATGGCAGGACTACATATCTACCATGCTCTGTCTGTTGCTTATTAATACAGAACCCAAGATCAATATCTGTGGTATATTTACCACCACCAACCCTTATTCTTACACATGGGCCATGTTTCCTTTCATCTAATTTAACTGTATTCGGAGATAAGTAGGGGTCATATGTTCCATTCCTGTTTCTATCTTTCAACTCATCATTGGAGTAGTATTCTTCCTCTATAATGTATTTGTATAAAGAAGTAGACCCCTCCTGATGAAGTAGTCTCAATCTATTCAAGCAATCCCATTCACTACTGGTTAGTCCTAGTCTCCTCTTCCCTTTGTAGTGAATACCTTCCAGTTGGGATAGACACTTATTGATTGCACTCTGGCGTAAATATGTTATACCAGGCAGAATATTGTTCTCATCATCTATTACTTCCTTATCTACTCCCAATGATTGTTTTATGTCATTGATCCGTGTTTTCAGATTTTTAGATTGTATTCTCACTTCCACTTCATTGTTCCAATATGCATCTGATATTTTTACATATTTTTTTGAAAGTTTTTTAAAAACTAGCAGCAGATCACATTCATCAGGGTATATGATTTTGCTGCCTTTGAAATAACTTCCATTTGGTAGTATATCACCAACTGCAAACACAGGATAAAGTTCTCCAAGTTTATCACAAAGTCTCCTTACTTTAGATATAATCTCCTCCTGATGTTCTTTGATTTCTGAGTCACTGAGCTTTAGTTTACATTTCTCATATCCGGCATTTACAAAGTCTGTTAATATTATGTCTTTTTCTGATTCAGTGAGTTGATATAAGTTCCTTGTAAGTTCAAAAACAGAGCTTGTGTCCGATATTGATCTCAATTCTGATTGTGATTCTAATTCAGAGAGCTGGCGTAAATTCTCTGTACTTTCTATAACAGAGGTTGTGTCCGATATTGATCTCAATTCTGATTGTGATTCTAATTCAGAGAGCTGGCGTAAATTCTCTGTACTTTCTACAACAGAGCGTTTCTCCTTTGATTTACAACATATTCCTCCCATTTAAAATTCTTATTTGATCTGTTTGAATAATGTGCTTGGTTATCTTTATATGTAATATATCAACATCTGGCCTAATACTGCAGTCAGTTATGACAATAAAAGCCTTAAATTGCACTTGCTATACAGGGTGGTTCAAAAAAAGTGAACTCCTGCAACAGGCTATATTTTTCTTAATACTTGCATGAATAGTCTCATATTATCACATGATGTAAAGAAAGGTCTAAAATGTTGGTTGATGCCATAATTTATTCTCAGTCTTAAATGTTGAAGAAATAACAAGAGTTTAACAAACATGCCTGAAAATAAGATATTGTGCAAAAGGATTGGTATCGATATGGAGAACTGAATTTAACAATGTTTTTCTCTTAAACCAATCATTAAAAACATTCTGTAAAAAAACACGGTATTTTATGTAATGTCGACAACAATTTAATGCGAAAATTATTTAGAAATATTTCATATAACTGTTTTTGTTAACTAATTTTTTTGTTTTTTTAGTGCAATCGTTTTTGCTCCTTTCTACCAATTCTTGAGAATGAAATAAAATGTCTTTCCGAACCTTGTTGGAGCAAAATAGCATATACAACATGTTTTTAGACCTCTCAATATTATAGTTATACAAAGGAATTTTTGGTTGATTTTAAAAATGTATTCAAAAAATTAAAACAAAAACCTTTTATTTCATTATTTCATTAACAAGATACTTTTTTAAAATCAACCAAAATTTCATTTGTACAATAACAATATTGAGAGACCTAAACATGTGTTTTATGTCATTTTGTTCCAATGAGGTTTGGAAAGATGTTTCATTTTAATCTGGAAACATGATCCAAAGAACAAAACAAGTGTTTGATGTGTTTTCTAAAACAATATAGATGAAAGTATATATATATATTTTTTTCAAATTATATTGTTACCATTCAAAATATGACCATATATAAATTGACGATGTGTTAAATTTTTAGATTTTGTTCTATGACTCAGGTTTAAGAGAAACGTATGTTCAAAAAGTTCTCCATATGGATACCACTCCTTTTACCAATGTGATTCACGGAAATTGTTAAAACACATCGGATGATCTTAAAACAGCTTCCAGTTAGAGATACAAATTTTAAAACTCTACCATATGACAAAAGGGACATTATTTAAGCTGAAAACACATTTCACACTTTAATTGATCATTTTGAAGCAGTTTTATCCATTCAACAGCTCATGGGGTATGTTACTTACACAAACACTTAGAGGGGGGCCTCTTGTGGAAGGAAGTTGCCCCCTGTGACCAGGAATCTGAGAAACCCTTCATCAAATATTCAAGAAGTGGATCATTAGAATTGGTCCATTATTTATGAAGATATTGACATTCCAAGATCATATAGGGGTATAATCACGATTTCACTGGAAAATGTTTTTGTCTATGGAAGCTTAGAACATTTCTTTGGATCACAATAATTTTGCAACTAACAAAGGTATGATGCTAGTTTTAAGCAATAATGTGCAGGATTCAAAAGTCAGAAAATATTATTTCTTTAGACCACAGCTTAAAAAAATGTCAAGGGAAGGGTGTTGAAGGGTTGAAGAATCGCTGATATTGAAAATCACATTTTATCCATTTTCAGTAATGTTTGGTTCACGCCTAACCATCGCGTATGCAGGCATCACTGTACACCCAAGTAAAAAAAATTCTAATTTAGACCTACTTTAGACCTAGTACCGCTCTAATGCCGCTCATATCCTTCTAAATTACTGGGTGGCATATTTTGGAACGGTATTAAAATCTGTTAATACCGACTAGCCGGTACTAAAGTTATATTGCATCGGTGTTAAATCTGTTAATACCGACTAGTCGGTACTAGAGTTATATTACAGCGGTGTATTAAACTTATATTTAATCTTGTTGATACAGACTGAGCGGTATAAGAGCGGTATTACGTTATAAAAAATTAATTTTAACTGGTGCATATGTTAGGCGAATGCATTACCTCCAGGAAAATCACTTCTAGAGATGATAAAATAATTTCGACTTTGAGACAGGGTAGATGCAAACAACCCACCCACATGTTTTTTCTGAAATGTTTTCCTGATTTTCATACCCTTCCATCCTTGCTTTTTTAATTTTTCTTGCATCAATATGTTGCGTTTTGACACACAGTTAATCCCTTAAAAGGAATAAATGATTCCTTTTAGATAAAGTGGGAAACAATATTTCCCATGTTATTTTCCCATAGGAAAAATCATTGCTTTCAGCTAAGTTTGGTCACCCATAATGGGTATCTTTAAAACCCCTGAAGGAATCACTTATTCCTTTAAAGTGGTTAACTATGTGTCAAAATGCATGGGTGGGTTGTTTGCATCTACCCTGTCTCAAAGTCGAAATTATTTTATCATCTCTAGAAGTGGTTTTCCTGGAGGTAATGCATTGGCCTAACATATGCAATTGTTTAAATCCTCAGAAAATGGCCAAAATCCAACATATGACTGTCCAAAATCTGTTGCGCTAATTTCCCTCCTCCATTTAATTCTATTTATTATAGGCATACAGTCAAAGTGGTCAAGCATAAATGTGTTGTGTATGGCCAATTGTACCATGCAGTAAAATTATAAGGTATTTTATAAAGATTATGAAGATAAATACTGTTGGAGGCCTAGAGGGTCCTTCAATAACTGTGAGCCTTGAATAGGTAAAATTACCAGTGATGTAACATAATAATTGCTTATATATCATCTTACATACCCAGGGCCAACCTAAAATGAACAATTTGCATGATATTTCCAAAAATTGTGGTACTTTTACGGGAGATTTTTCCAAAATCTGGTAGTTTTTAGGGGAGGTTTTTAAAAAAAATTGGTAGTTTTTGTGGTAGATTTTTAAAAATCGGGAGTTTTTTAGGTAAATTTTGAAACAACGAGTTTTTATGGTGAAATAAAACAGTACTTTTTTTTAAAAAAAGCGGATTATCTCCAGTTTTTTCTAATAAAAGCAATAGTTTTTGCGGTAAATTCTGCAAAAAGTGGTAGTTTTGCGGGAGATTTTTGACAAAATCTGTAGTTTTTGTGAGAGAATTTTGAAAAAACTTTGGACTTTGCATGTGAATTAATTCATGTAATAGGCCAGAACCAGATTTGGTCTTGAGCACTTCAGTACTACATCACAAAATAACAAACAGTCGTTTGGAGCTTTTAGGTGTACTAATAGTTAGAGCTACTGCATGTCTGTTGACATACATCATATCATTATATTAATTTTGATCAGAAGGCAAAAGGCTGAAACAGAAGAATCGTCATAAGATCTGTGTTACTAGCTGCTATATTAAACATTCTTAGGGTGACCAATTATCCAAAATGGTATTTAAATATGATATTGATTATTAAATGATAAATTTTAGAAGGATTTCATGTTTTTTCCCATTTCGTCCCTTCCCACTTCACCCCTTCCCATTTTGCCCCTCATTTATTCCCATTTTGCCTCTTTCCCAATTCGCCCTTTTCACATCTCGCCCATTCCCATCTTGCCCCTTTGCCATTTCACCCCTTTCCCATGTTGCCTCCTTCCCATATCGCCCCTTTCCCTTATCTACCCTTCCCATGTCGCGAAGGGGGAATGAGGGGCGAAATGGAATTGGGGGCAGAATGGGACAGGGGCGAAATGGAAGAGGGGCAAAATGGATAAGGGGCAATTTGGGAAAGGGCGAAATGGGTTAGGGCAAAATGGGAATAAATGATGGGCGAAATGGGAAGGGGCAAAGTTGGAAGGGGCGAAATGGGAAGACACCGGATTTCATCTGTATTTGATCAGTATTGGAGCTGTACTAGAGCGCTTTTAAATATCCCTGTCCAATACCGATGCATCGGTATTTGATCAGTATTTGATCGGTACTTGATCGGTACTTGATCGGTATTGGAGTTTCACTAAAGCCATATCAAATAGCATAGTCCTATACCGGTGCATCGTTAGAAGAGCTATATCAGATCGGTACTAGGTCGGTATTTGGTTAAAGCTGATTGGCTGACAGAACTTCTAAATTAGCTCATTTGCATGATAAATTTTAGAAGGATTTCATCGGTATTAGTTTGGTATTAGACAACTACATTAGGTCGGTATAAGGTCAGCATTTAATATGCAACGTCCATTGGATTTTTTCACTTGGGCAGTGTCAAAAAATACAGTAGTACAGTTTTCTGTACGGTGACAAAAATTAAGTAAGTTGAAGCAAAAACTATAATGAGGGTTTTAAAAAAATTAATAATTAGATGAAAATAAATACGATTTCGGGTGTTATAAAAACAGCATTCTCTAAGAAATGGGTTTAACTTTC